AGATTAAAAAGTAATCTTTTTAATTAATCTTTGTTTTGTTCAAAATGGCTTTGTCATGAGAATATAATAAATGCGAAAAATTGAAAATTTGTTATTTTTATAAATTTTTGGAGACTTCTTTTGAAATCCGCATTAACTTTATTATTTGTTACAAACTCGGCAACCACATTCAATGGGCTCTCGTATCGTCTCCACACGTATTTCTTTTCCACCGTTTTTTGTACCGCATACGACCTCTATATCTTTTAGTATATATCTGCTTGGTACGCAGCAACTACAGCTTGATTTTTTACCGTCATTTTCATTTACAACATAATCGTTTGAAGAGCAAACTCCGATGCATTTGTTCATTGAAACAGTTCTGCTAAAACAACCACTTATGCTAATCTGTTCGCTTGGTACTTTAATAGGCAAACAATACTCTTTTTTTCCCACAACGCTAAGAAGTACAGAAATAAATGAAAGCAACCATAAATATATTTTAAAGAAGTTCATGTTTTACATTTAATTGTAAATTGGATTCCTTTATCTAAGTCATATATCTACTAGCGAAGTTTTAAAAAATGCTTAGTAAAAAACGTTTTATAGTCACCAGGCTTTCAAAGTAAATAGCTGCTAATCGATTTTTTTTGTAAATATATATTATTGTTGTCTGCAGTAAGCAAAATAGGCTTTAGATTACTACATTTTAAAACTTTTTGTGAATTTAACATTCCTTTTGTAATAAAACAGCGTTCATACGGTTCGACCTTTCTTTTTGTTTTATAAAAATACACCAAATAAGGGATTACTATGAATTTTAAAAAATATACTAAATGATAAATACGATTGCAAAAAAACTTGAAGTTTAAGACGGCACCGATTTTGAAATATTTGCATATATATATTAATGCATCGTGATGTCAAGATATGATGAATTAATACTCAGTAGAGGAGACTGGAGCTAGTTGCAACAATACTTTAAAAATTACATTTATCTCTTATAACTTTGATATTTTTTTAAACTTCAGGGTTAAAAAATAGATATTAGTGACGTACTAATCCAACATTGAATAGTATAATATAAAACTAGTATTCCACAATAGTGAAACAAAAATAAAACAAAAAAAATGTTGCAACTTACCCCGCACTTCACATATAGCTAACTTGTTTAGTAAACTGATAATTACATTCAAAGACTTTAAATACTGAAGAAATTAAAAACGAGGATTATTATAAGGATTAGGCTCCGGGTTTGGTTTAGGTTTAGCTTAGGGTTTGGTTTGGATATGGCTTTCAATAAAATAAACTTTATTTTTGGGTTCAGGGTTCCTCAAGAAATCCTTAAAAAATGTGAATCGTTTTTTAAGGATTTCTAAAGAGGGGTGCCTGAAATACACGTCCACCCTTTTTTCTAACGGCTAGAAATAACTTTTTTAAAGACGAAAAAAGAAAAAACATTTATAAATTCAACGTAAAGTAAAATCAACAAAAAAGAAGAAGAAAAGAAAACAAAATCTCTGAAACAAAATAAGTAAAAAAATAAAAGTTAAAATAAAAAAAAGTTAATGAATGAAATAAATAAAAAGAATGAAAAAAGAAAATTAAACTATTTAAACATTGGAAAAAAGCAACGGAAAAAAGCAACGGAAAAAGGTCGGCAAATCAAGATTTTTTTTATTTTTTCATATATTTCTTTATTTTTCTTTCATATATTTCTTTATTTTTCTTTCATATACTTCTTTAGTTGTTTTTTTTTCATATATTTCTTAGGATTATTTATTTACGATTTATTTTTAGTTACGGTTTATTTTTAGTTAGCTTTATGTAGTTATGCTCTTATGCGGTATTGTAGAAATGATCTTTTTTTCTTCAGCTTTTTAGCGTACATAGTTTCACTTATTATTTTTTGTTGGTCATTATTGTTTTATTTTTAGTTATTATTTATTTTTTATTACTGATTTTATATACAGTTATATTTTTATTTTCATTTTTGCCATTTATTATGAATGTTTTATTTTATCGTGTTAGTTTTAATAAGTTACTTAACCCTTATAATTTTTTTAACAACTGCCATTTTTATGTCATCCTTAGTTGTTACGTTTTGTCAATTTATTACTATTTGAAACTGTAACTTTGAATGTATAAACGATTGTATATATATATACATACATATATATATATATATATATATATATATATATATATATATATATATATATATATATATATATATATATATATATATATATATATATATATATATATATATATATATATATATATATATATATATATATATATATATATATATATATATATATATATATAGGTCTATTAGGTCTATTGCAACTAGCCCCGGTTCCCCGATAGATGATTAAATTTCATTTATAAGTTGTTTGAATGAAAATAGTTTTGATCAGACATAATGTTCTTACAAAATTTTAAACTTAATTGATAATAATTAATTACGCTCTTTTCTTTTTTTTATAGAAAAAACAATTATTTTTTTTAAATTTCTTTGTTACTTTATGGATATTTTTAAAGTTATAATAACTTCGAATATTCTTTACCATAAATATTCATATGCTTTAATAACATTCAAATAAGCTTTCCAACGTTTAAACCCATTTTATTTCAAAAAAAATTTTAAACTTTATCGCAATGCTTTAAAGATGTATTATTTGAATGTAGCATTAGTATGCATAAAAATAATTTTTGATTTTATATATTTTATATTTTTATTGATTTGCAAATAGCATGTAAAACAATGTTTATTGATTTGCAAATAGATAATTGCAACATAACTGTAACATTTTTACACTTTAAATTTTATATAGGACTGTGTAACTTTTGCAATGTATGCATTGTGGCTACATTGTAAAAATATTTTAAAATTGTTAATAAAGTAAATCATAATAAGTAAGTAAGGCCATCATAATAATGTTAGAACAATATTTCAGTCCTAAAGTGCCTTCAAGGCGTTTGCTTTCACAGCAAATTTGAAGTATCTTGTTTCAGTTTATTATTTTTGTTTTATCTAACACATTATGAAATTCCTCCCTATATCTCTGATGGTTTTGGTTGGATCTTTACATTTGAAGTAAATTAACATTGTTATTGAGTTCCTCAGGGGAGCATACACTTTAACTCAAGTTATGACTTAAAGTCATAACTCGATATAGTTTAATAACTTTAATAACGTAAATATTGTTTCATTCCCGGAGTTGTTATCATTTAAAATAATTTGCCAGTCGACATCATTAATGCCAATAATATTAAGGGCTATAAAATATAAATTATCTTCGTAAATTTTTAAAAATTTTTTGCGACATCTTAAATGCTAGTTTTTGGTTTGCGATACTTTTTTGGGTCTCAAAGTATGTTATTATTAACCTGTGAACTTTCCATTACTTGAAAGTTTAAATTTAATCTAACTGTAGATTAAACATTTCTGTTTTTAAATGTTTTTAAATTTCAATTACTTTTTAGGAAAGTTATGTAAAAGTATATTTTTATAATACAAAATACAAAGAAAAATACAAAATATAATTGATACAAAAAAAAAAGCATTTGAAAAAAATCTTTCATTTAAGAAAAAAATGTTTCATCAAGAAAAAAATGTTTCATCAAGACTTGTTTTAATTTGAACAAAGTACTTTAAAGTGAACGTGTTAATCGACGAAAAAAATACATCAAGGCTTTTAATAGTAATAATTAGGTTATAAAAATTTAAATAAGAACTTTATGACTTTTGTGTAAAAAAAAATGTTTTGCTGCTTTTTGGTTTTAAGTTTTCATTCCGGATATTTCCTATGCAGAACTAAAAAAGAAAAATTTAACTGTACGCTTAAATTTTTTAAAAAAATTTAATGCAAAAATAATAAACTAAAAATTTAAAAAATTTTAGTTTATCAGTTTTGCATCTTTCTTTAAACCCTAAAATTTCCATCAATATTTTACTTTTAACTCTATTTTTTATTTATTTAATTTTAAGATTTTAAAAACCGTTCATTAATTATTACTTTTCTTAATCATCAAGATGTTGGATAAAATAAGTTGCTGATAACTATTTAAATAAAGCTTATGTCACAAACGCATTTGTGACAGAAACAGTTTTCAGATTCTGAAAAAATTTTAAGTATTTGCAAAAACTTTACATTCTCGACATTTTTAGCTTTCATAAATATTTAAGAATATAGTTTAAAAACATTTACACATAGAAATAAAGTTTTAAAAGATTATAATAATAATAATTATTATTATTATTATTATTATTATTATTATTATTATATTATTTGCCGTTAAGAAAAGTTTACAAAAGTAAACTTAAAAAAAATTATAAATGACTGAGGCAAGAAGACGCATTCAGTCCTATAGCTCCTTAAAAACGAAAATAAAAAAATGACGTAGCATTGTTAAGTTACGTAACACGCAAAAATATAATGAAAATATGCTTATAAAAATATATATGAAAATATGCTTTAAAAAAATATATATGAAAATATGCTTTAAAAAAATATATATGAAAATATGCTTTAAAAAAATATATATGAAAATATGCTTTAAAAAAATACATATGAAAATATGCAAAAATACTTTTTATATATCTATTCTTGACTAGTTTCATTTTATTAACATTTCGAGTTTAAAATAAGTGAAAAACAGACATAATGAAAAACAAGTATTTGTTTGAGGTAAAAAAAACTAGGTTTTTAAAAGTTTTTTTTGAGCATGGTAGAACAGTAAAAGAATTAACTACTTTACTAAATGATGTGTTATAAATTTATAGAGTTATAGAATGGAATGAGAAGTAAGAAAACGGGAGCACCATACAGTCTTAGAAAAGAGAGCACAAGATCAAGATTGATACATAATCGGCTTTTTCTAAGTAGTCAAAATCTCACAACTTTTTTGACTAAAGTATTTGGTTGTCTCATCTATCTTAATGTATATGGTTTTCTCATCTAGCAAATAAAGACAATTTAGGGGTAAGCTTATTGGGAAAATCATTAATATAGATGAGAAACAGCACAGGAGTGAAGATAATCAAGCGTTCATCATTCAAGGCAGGAATCAATGTGACGCAGGTAAATGAACAGCTTTGCTGAGTGAAAACTAGCCACGTACTACTTTGACTACTGTAAGCGCGACTTATTCTTCAGTAAATCTTTTTCTTTTCTTGGTTGAACACTATTCGTGGTTTTTGGATATTCAAATTATTCGAATATTATAAAACTATTTTTTATCAGCTGGGCATCGCAACCAAGCGCTACCGCTACCTTTCGCAACTTTGGATCCAGAAACCGCTACCGATCTTCTGCTACTTTATCAAACTTTAGGCGCCACTAGTCCGCTACTGACAATTTTTTTTAATTTTAATTAAAAAAAAAATGCAATTAAAAAAAAAAATTACTGCCCCTTTCTCCAACGTTGAGCTTTTGATATCCATATGGGATGATATAAGTGACGCATTTTTTATCGTTTTTCGATTTATCAAATTTAAATCTACTTAATGTTACTAATTTTTTATATTTAAATTGTAACCTACATCAATGTCGTCAGCATTCGGTTGGTGGTTTTAGTTAGATTCTGGCACAATATATAACTTTTTGGCGTTGATTAAGTGCAAGAGGTCCCTAATCATGCATTTTTTTACTCCATCTATATCACACACTGTGCTATTCATGGAAGATGTAGCTGACAACTGGCAACTTGTAATAGGGATGCACAAAAGAATGAAAATACCGTTCAAATGTAAACATTTAAGAAAACATAGATTGTTATATTCATACACAACAACAACAACAACAAAAAATATGTGCTTTAATTGATAAGTATTTAAACGCATCATAGCTGGGGTTCTAACTGGTCATTCCTGGTGTCGCCAAACTCAGGACTGCTTTAACGTCATTTTCTACCACAGTCCTCTTATTTTGAGCATTCCATATCTCTTAGCCTTTGTAGCTGGTTTTAAAAACAATGGCCTAGAAATTCAGCTTAGCACTTTATGGATATCCTTGCAAACCAGCAAGTTCATTTTTTAAACTTCACAACGACGCTGCTATGGTAGAATGATACCATCATTGCAACTTTTTAGAATTTCTTTTAACAACAAAAGCGTTGTGTTAACTGCTTAGGATCCACCTTCTCTCTCTAATTCTCCTACTCGACTAAACAAAACTGTTTAAAAGCACTAACATAGTTTGAATCAATGTCTTAAGTTGTTGCAACAACCTGAAGATTAAAACCCTATTTGTTATACCAAATTTCAATTGACTACAACATTTTAAATTTTAAATATATATTCTGGAACTAGAAAAAAGTTATCAGTTAACAGTTTTTGAAATAAACTACTTCTACACACTCTCCCGTTTATAATAAACTTCTATTGCATGTTGGATATATCATTTGCTAAGGGGTTACAAGTTTGGGCTTCTTTACACTGACTCTTTAAAACTGTTTATGAGAATAAAAACCTTCGAATAAAAATATTTTGAAAAACTGAAAGTAAAAGTAAGGAGCATTTTTTTTGCATGAAGAAATTTCAAATGTAAAGAACATTGAGTTGTTGTTTATTATTATAATTTATCACTGTAATAAAATTGAAGTTATTCTGCAATTTTATATTTAAAAATTGTTGTTTAATTTTATAAAAGATTACATCAATGAGAAGATAGAAATCCTAGATTAATATATATATGCATAATATAGTTAACACATCGATTTAGTTACAAACATTTTATATATAAAGCACACATGCCGCAAAGTTTTTAAATCAAGTTGCACACAACTGAGATTATTTTGATAACTTTGGAGAGTTTTTATATTTTGAAAGGTTTATTTTCCTTTTACTTGATTTTCAGTAAATGAAAAAGTCTGTTATTTAAACAACTTCAAATGATATTTCTACGTTTAAAATATGCAACTCCGCTACCAAATGGAAAATTTTTTTGCAACTCCGCTACCGAATGGAAAGTCCGCGTGTAGCGGAGAAGCGGACAGGGTTTTGCTACGGCACCGCTAATTAACTACTCGAATTATTCAAATAATTCAAGAGTGTGAAAATTCAGAAAATTGTGGTTTAGCAGATCTTTTTATCATGCAAGTTGCGCAAGAAAAATAGTTTTAATAAAAACTATTAAAATTTCTTAATTACCATTAACATTAGCGACAATTCTAACAATTATATACGACTTAAAAAGCCTGTAATATGCATCATACAATCAATCTGTTTGTAAAACAGATTGATTGTATGATATAAAAAAATGTTTGCAATAGTTGCATTTAGAAAATAGAGTTTTGTTTTGTTTACTATTAAACATATAATAAATTGTCATAATTATCATGAAAAGTTAAATGTTTTGATCATGATATTTAAATCATGTTTTGATCATGATATTTAAGACAGTTTACTGTTTAAACAAAAAACATACTACATCCTTATTTACTAAACAACAACAAAATTCATCAATTTTTAATAAAAATATATAATCATGGTAATCACTTTCATTAAAAAAAACATAAAAATGTTTTTTTCTTCGTTAAATTTTAAAAGTTGATTTTAAAAAGTATAAAAGTTTCATGAAAAGTAGTTGTGGTAGTATTATACCTGAGCCGTTCTTTACAAACCTTTTTTCTGGTCTTTTAAGGGTTAAAAATTATTGACAATGGAATTGCAATATTATTTAAACATTCCATTAAAATTCTTGGTTACATTTTGTCCTAACCAGTAAACATAATAAACTTCTTTTTTTAAACTTTTTATTGTATCAATGCTTGTTTCCGCATTTGAAATTAGTTTGACCATGGAAGTATAAAACAGATGGAATCGAGCTGCAAACATCAAAACAATTTCAAGTTGTCTTGGGAGTATGCTTGAAATCGCCAATAAAAAAAAAACAAGCTTCACTGGACAAAAAAGCAACAAAATTCACTGAAATGATTTTTATTAAAACATCAAAAAATGAATTATTATTAATTTTAAAACTTGGTAATTAAATAGAACCTCGTGATTTTAAAAGTATATGTTAGTTTAAAGCCTCTTTTCTTGCTTCAAGTCATAACACGACATTTAATTAAAAAGACAAAACAATTTTTAAAAAATCAAAATCATTTTCTAAATAACCAAAGTTTAAAGTTTCATTAGATGTATATTATAATTCATTCTTGTAGTTCTCCATTCATTTAACATGAAGTTTATAAAATAGTTGTTGTCTGCCGTTTCGTTGCGCCATTTTTAATGTTTTTCTTGAATATTATTGGCGAACCATGAAAATATTATATTTTTAAATTATTATAAACGTACCTATTTGCATCAACGTATAAAGATTAAGCGTTTATGTACAGTCTTGATGTCGTTTTCTTATTGTTTACGAAACAAAAGGTTTCAAGCATAGTCCCGAAGAATTTTAATGTGGTTGAACTTCCATCTGTTTTATACTTCCATGGTGTGACGCATAACTTAGTCAAGACTGGTACTGTCACTTTCTTTTTAAAAAATTATGTAATATTCTAGCATTATCAAATTTAATTGTTATAACTGATTTTTTTAGAGCAGTGGTTCTTACACTTTTGTGGTCACGGACCACTTTCAAAATTTTGGAAATCTGACGGACCACTTCCAAATTTAATTGTATATGTACGGGGAAAGGCAAAAAAAACATTGAAAAAAATACCTTTATTAGTATAAAGAAAAATTTAGCGCATGACAGTTGTTTAATAAAAACTAGAAGTTTTTATAATGTTATTATTATCTTTGTTTTTATTTGGTTTAACATAAGTTCATTATTTTAATAAAATAAATAAGGTTTTAATTTTTTTTCTTCTCTTTTTTTAGGCAAAAAATCAGACAATCTTAATAGTCCTGACTATGTTCCATCTGTTTTTTTATATAGACAGCAATCTTTTTCAAAAAAACATCAAAGTATTGAAAGATTTGAAAGAAGTTGTAAAAGAACAAAAAAAAATACTGAAGATAATTTATCTCAAACAAAAGCTGAAAATGAACAGATGTCAGTTAATATGGATGCAGTCGACATCATCATCAGTCGACCCTTTCAAATTAAATCAAGATAAATAAGTTTTAATTTAATTTTAAGATTTTACTTTCGTTCTTTGATAAAATAAATGGTTACATAATTATGTTAATTTTGTTGCTGAGCTACATTCTAAAGTCAAAACTTTGAGTAAAAATAATGTTGAATTAAAGATTACAATAAACAAAGCTATAACATCATCTGTTTCTCAATATATTTCGTTTGAAAAACTAAAAGATGATAATTCACTTTTATCTTTTTATACTGGTTTGCCAAATGCAAATTTATTTTTGTGGTATTTATCATTGTTTAATGATTGTGTAAAACCAATGAAAAATATACCAATGGAAGACCATTTATTGCTAATATTAATGAAAATCAAACTTGGATTATTAAATAAAGACTTGAGTTTTAGATTTGGTTTTTCTGAGTCAACAGTCACTAGAATATATAGATCTTGGCTTCCAATTATTGCTGAAAATGTTAAGTTTTTAACTGCTTGGCCAGAAAAGCATGTTTTGCGAAGAAATTTGCCAACAAGTTTTCGCAAAAAGTTCTATAATTGTGTTGCAATAATTGATTGCATGGAAATACTCATTGAAAGACCTTTTAGTCTTCATGCTCGAGCTCAAACTTGGTCAAATTATAAAAACAACAACACAATTAAATATCTCATTGGTATAACTCCATCAGGTGCTGTAAGTTTTTTATCCCCTGGATGGGGTGGTAGAGTTTCAGATAAAGAAATTACAATTAAATCTGGAATTTTAGAAAAAATAACCCATGGAGATTGTGTACTTGCTGATAGAGGATTTACACTTGTTGAAGAATTTGCTACAAAAGGTGGGATTTTAAAATTACCAAAGTTTACCAAAGGAAAAAAGCAGATGTCTTCTGCTGAAGTTGATGAATCACGTCAAATTGCACATGTAAGAATCCATGTTGAAAGGGTAATTGGACGGTTAAGAAAATTTCGAATTCTTCAGAACATTATCCCATTAACTCAAGTTGAATTACTTGATGATGTTATGGTAACAATAACTTCATTAGTAAATATTAACAGTAGTGTTGTTCCTCCAAGCTCATAGGAGTGAAAAACCTTTTTATTTTAACTTTACTTTGTATTATCTTACATTTGGATTGTCTCAAGTACTCTCGAGTCCTTAATACAAGGGGGTGGGGGAAGGGGGTGGGGGAAGGGGGTGGTTAGTCAAGATCTAATAAAAGTAGGGGGTGAGAATTTATACTAAAAGTTTTATTATTTATTAGTTACTAGTTTATATTTTGTAAATTATAAGGCCGATTTTCACTGAATTATTTTTTTTAGTTTCGATAGTTTTAGAAACTTTTTGTTGATAACAAGTGAAAATTAATAAACAGAGTGGTCTTAATAAGCTTAAGGTAGGTGGGAAAGTTTTCAAAAATTTAATAGAAATCCCCCCTACCCTTCTAATAAAGACTCGAGAGTAGTAAATTTTATATTACTAAATAATAAGAATTGTTAACAGTTTATTGATTTTTTATTTCTGAAAAAAGTGCCAAAATGTCGTTGACAAAGTAAGATATTTAATAAATATAATATATCCTTTAGTTTATTTATATGCATTCCTTGCAGAACCATTTACCTTTAGGGGCATTTTTTATTTCAATACAACTGTAATGAAACCATTCTATTTTGCAGTTTTTTCCGTCGCATCCAATCATTGGTGTAAAACTTGGACGTTTGCAAATGCAGTATGTTTGATCGCTCAAAAGGTTGTTAGGATCATTTTTTCTAGACACTATTTCAGGTAGTAAAAATTTAAAAAATATTGTTGTCAACTTTGTTTCCAGTTTTTCACAAAAGACCCTATCAATCGGAACATTAATTAACATTGTATCATTTTCATTTTTTCGGTCCAAATGTAAAAATGGCAGTATGTAGTATTAGTAATATACATTTCTTGCTGCACTTGAAAGTAATACTGGTGTGTTTTCTTTACCGTATTGTCAAAATTTACAGGAAAATCCGTATCTGTTTTCCAATTTTCTAACCCATTTCTATACTTATATGAGCACTTAATTTCCACTACACCGGAACCATGACAATCACAACACACCATACTATCAGGTGATGCACCAAGACATGGATTTTTGTGAAGAACATGCAATCCAGTTTCTGTAATAACTATATTTGTATGTGTTTTCGCGACAAATTGCTTGTAAGAATTTATTGCTACAGTCTCCATTTTCTTACCATAACTCGTAGGTTTTGTAATGAATTCTGCGTTGTATTGCATCACTGTGTTTATAAACGGGTATTTATCAACTTTTATGTTGTACGCAGTTTTTGATAACGATGCTGTTATTCTACCTGCCCTGTGCAACTTCCAGATTCTACTAGCGCTTTGAATTTTTGTAACTTTAAGTAAATTGCTGTACATGTTAACACTTTGAGTGATTTTGTACTCCTCGTATGATTCTGCGCAATATTTTGTTAAGGTGGAATCATCTAAATTAATTGATGCAGGCAAATATAGTGAAGCAAGTGGTTCCGGCAAATTATATTCATTGTAACTGTCATCCTCCTCCGCAGTATCTGTATCACTACAATGTTCTTTGTTTTCATTTTTAATGTCTACAGACTGAAGAACAGCAGCATTCTTATACAATTTTTTTAGTTCTAGCAACTTTTTTTTTTTACTATCTGAAGTTGGTGTAGGATCCTTAAAGCTGTAAGGTCTTTCATCCTGTGAGTTTTCATTGTCACTAATATTTGGAAGAGTTTCACGCTTCTTTGGTCGGGAAAAGTTTATTTTTTTTAGTGGGGCTGGGGTTGCTGATTTGCGTGATTTTTTCCAACTGCACAATGTGCTTGTGCAAGATATTTTATTTAAACCGAGCTGTGCACACGCAACAAGCTTAAACAACAAAGCACCGATGTGACTACACACAGAGCCCAATCTATAGTTTCAAAAATGTATAACTAATTAAATTTCTTAAAATACTTGTTTAAAATAAAATTAGAATTAAATTATTTAATTAATGTACTTACCCTGCCATGCATTTGCAATTTGCCGTTAAAATCCACCCATTAACTTTATTTATTGCAACCCACACTTCGTAACATTTCTGCTTCTTTCCTTGTCTTTGACTTGGAAGTACCTTTAATAAATTAAAAGTTGAATAAATAAGTAAAAACGTATGTGATGATTTTGAAACAGTAAATCCTTTAGGATCAAAAACTAAAGTCCACAAAGTTTGTGCAGTTTATTTGTCCATCAAAAATGTTAACATAAAAAAATGCTCTAAATTGACTAACATATATCCTGTAATTTATTGTTTTTCAGCTGATGTTGCAAAGTATGGATATGAAAAGCTTTTAAAGCTTTTAATAAAGGACTTGGTAGCTCTAGAGAAAGGAGTTAAATTGTATATAAATGGAAATTACATTTGCATATATGGTGCAGTAGTTATGTGGTCTGGGGACAATCTTGCATTGCA